AGCCATGTCCTCTCCGGGATTCGAGTCCATCGGTTTGTCAGTCAGCGTCACTAATCCCTATACCAGCTGGGCGGCAATTTTAGAATGACATTAATTTCAAGTAATTCAAATATGTTGAATTAACCACTAAATAACTGTCTTTTAACCTTAATTCAATATTTCCGACTAAAGAAGCGCCACCAGCTGTCGGCTGAGAAACAGAATTTACTGAGTGTACGAATGTGGCAAATTTTTCTCCCACCTTACCTTAGTCATGTAGCTTGGCTCACAAGTATACAATGGCAAAGGCAAAGCCTCAAACAATTCATTCTATCCTTTTTCTTTCAAGAACAGTCCCGCGCATAAACACACTGCACATCTTTATGTCTCTAAAACAATAAGCATCGTATTTGCAACAAATACATAACTGAAACCCATTCTTGAACCGCATCAGATTGCTTCGGAGGACGTATTGCACCCACGGGCCACGAGTTTGAGTTCACTGACTTATATGGTGCTCCATATTCTCCATTCTTAGTTAATACAGTAGTAAAATCATTACCCTGGTAACAAAATATCATTATCAATCGGCTTCAATTTCTGCATTTTTTCATTCCGATGTGGATATATATATTAACAGGTGCAGATGACGTTGTTATCGCACTTGAACTCAAACAATAATTAGTCAAAATGCCAAATGACGCTTCAGAAATAGTTTTCAAATGAAAAAGGCAGTTGCTAGAGCATGATACTTCGATCGTAACGAGTAGGACATGGCTGAAACTAATAACAGCACTGTGCTTTCTGGCGAAAATATTTCAACAAAACGTTTAATTTTGCCTGAGACCGCTCGCTTATTTGGTCAATTGGAGCTTTTAGGTGCAATTATAAGCACAAGCTAAAAACTCACGCAAAAGCTATGGTAGCTGAAATCTTACTGGAACGAGGAGCTGTCAGATAGAAAAAAGGTGGTGTAGTGGTGTATTTAATTATGGCAAAGAACACTAGGGCTATCTGCCTAAGGGGGAGGGATGCCTTCGTGAAGGACTTTCTAAGGGAAACTGGCTCGTATACACGTTACACATGGGGAAAACCACGAAAACGCCCATGCAGCCAGCCCGTTCGCGGGATTTGAACCTCAGACCGAACTACCAGTGTTCAGCGACTTTACCGCTCGGCCCCTGGTGGGCCATAGATAGAAAAAAGGAAAATGGAGAATTTTTTATAGAAATTTGTTGAAACCTAGAAGATGATGTTTGGATTTTGGTGACCTATTCGCGGCTCACCGTTCACGGCACCTCATACACGCAACTCTCAAAGTATGTTTTTCATAACTTCGGCAATTTTGTGAATTTTTTCGGCCATATTTTTAGCAGAAAATAGCTCACATTCACCCTGACCGGTAAATAATTAAAATAACAATGTCAGCTACGAGCTATCGTTTCTCCTTCCTGCTGATTGGCTGCAGATGACGCAACGTCACAAGCGTCTTCCTGCGCGAGAGGCCAAGCTGTTCTCTCTCTCACTCGCTCACGGGTTTTCAAAGTGATTGTTTGAATTCACGTTTTTGATGTGTTATATCTAATTATACTGTACCCCTGTATTATTTACTCCCTATAAGGGATTATTTGAATTGTGAATTCAAGTTTTTGGTGTGTTATACAATTACCACTGTATCCTGTATTATTTACGCTTCATAATGCCACCGAAACACCCTGCATCTCCTCCATCTTCTCGCAAGGAACCTAAGAACCAGAAAAAGATTATGTATGAGTATGAGAAGGCAGAACTGCCTTATACGGTAAAGGAAGGGAAAAGTTATGCTGCGGTAGGGCACCATTACGAAGTGAATGAAAGCACCTTGCTTTACATAAAGAAAAATGAGAAGGCAATCAGATCTCGTGTAGCATTGAGTTTTTGCGGAAGTGCTAAGATGGTGAATGTTGTACGAAACAAGGCAATCGTCAAGATGGAATCTACCTTAGCATTATAGATATAAGATTTAAAGAACAAAAATATACCACTGGACACAAAAGTGATTCGTAAGAAGATTAATAATTTGCATTCTAAATTCAATGCGAGCAATGAAGGAGAACCACAACAAAGTCCATCATCAGCATCAGATGCATACGAATTTCAAGCCAGCAAGGGTTGGTTTGATCGGTTTGTGAAACGTTACCAACTACGGATTGGAAAATCCCAAGAAGAAACTGCTTCTGCGGATACAGAAGCTGCACAGAATTATCCCGAGACCTTTAAGCAACTCATTAAGGAGAAGGAATTTAAGCCAGAGCAGGTATTCAACATGGATAAATTAGGGTTGTTCTGGAAGAAGATGCCTTCCAGAACATTTCTCGTGAAGGATGAAATGAAAGCCTCAGGATTCAAAACACAAAAGGACAGAGTGTCACTTATTATGTGTGGCTGGATGATGAAACCTGGTCTCATTTATAAATCTGGAAATCCTAGGGCTCTCAAAAACAAAAATGAAAACACTTTGCCTGTCTTCTAGATGCATAATTCCAAGGCCTGGATTACGAAGGTCCTGACATCCAACTGGTTTCATCAGTGCTTCGTCCCTTAAGTGAAAGAACACCTCCGTAAAAAACGAAGGCAATTTCACGTGGTGATGCTCATGGATAATGCTGGTGGTCACCCTGTGCATTTGTATCATGAAGGAGTTCAGCTGAGTTTCTCCCTCCTAACACCACATCGCTCCTCCAAACTATGCATCAGGGGGTGATTCGTTCATTTAAGGCACTTTACACTGGGAACTATCTTTGGCAATTAGTTGATGCCATCGATGAGGAAGAGGACTTCCAGTTAAAAGTATACTGGCGCAATTGCACAATTGCATCGTGCCTGACAATCAAACACAAGGCACTTCAAGACATTAAAACAGAAACTCTAAATACATGTTGTAAAATACTGTTGCCAGAATGTGTATATAACTACAAAGGCTTTTCATACGATGAAATTTATCATGATGCTGTAAACAAGCCAGTAACACTGGTACAGTTAATTGGGGTGATGGTTTTGATGATGTAACTTACGAGTAGTTCAATAAACTCATTGATACCCACTCTCAGACTCTGAGGGGTGAAGATTTGACAGAGCTGACGAAGTCTGCAGAAAAAGAAGAAACAGAGGTCCAGGAAGACCTGTAACAAGAGGAAGAGGATGAAAGTGTGATTCTAAAATGGTTGGCTGAACTCATGTGAACAGCAAAGGAGGTGCAAGAGAAAGCTCAATCATGGGACCCTTACATGATTCGTTCATTACAGTTCTCAAATGCAATTGATTCATCCATGTGAACATAAAAATCCTTTTCACCACCATGAAAAAACATCGAAGCCAGCTGCCAATAATCATGTTCCCAACGATGGTCAAGAAAAGTGACCAAGCCACACCCAAAGAAAATACTACACCACCTCCTAATTCCCCTGAAGAAACAACACCTTCTCTTGAAGTGCCTTGAAGAGGAGGAATCGCCTGAACTGCTGTGAAGCAGCAGTTAAGCTGCGCCATACATCAGTGTCACCCTAATCATCCTCATCATATGGTAAAACAAATTTCATCATCATAATCATTCATTATTGGTAAGCATGTACAATAAAATTTAAACGCTTTTAATTTATCCGTTACTATGTACTTATTATACTATATTATTACTGTTTTTAACTTGTTGTTACCACATATTACTACACTGTAACTGTATTAATGAGTAATACTGTCTTTAGAATGTGTTTCGGAAGCATATATTAGAGAATATAATATCATACATAAGCATTTTTAAACTGCATCAATAATTCGCAGAATTTCGGGATTCGCAGAAGGGGAAGGAACGTTAACCCCGCGAATAACGGGGGCTACTGTAGATCAGCAGGTACTTCGTTGCAAGTCCTTGCGATACTTCATGCGGTCCCAGACACTCTGATAAATTCCTATTCTTAATCTAGTCTTCAACAGCTACATTTCATGCCAAAGTTTGATGTATTAAATGCCCACATCAAGCTGGAGAGAATAACGGCCACTAGCCACGTAAATAAGCAGGACGACTCACACCCCGGATAGGCACATCGGGAAGACACACAGTCCTCTTAAATTTTTAAGCTTCTGTTCGCGCCTGCGCCTCTGAGTAGTAAGCGCGGGTAACCGTGCGGTCAAAGGATGCCGCCATGACGTAATAGAACAATGAGTGGTTCAACGGGGGCGTGGCCTCTGCCATCTTGGATTTCCCCCGGAAGTGACGACACCGGCGCCATATTGGATCACGTGACAACCGGAAGTGACGTAGATGGATGGGATGACGTAGACGGAATGACATGATGTATCGTTTTGTTTTTGATTCTGTGACAACGATCTTTCCAAAGTTTTTATTTTTTGTGGCAACGACACTATTTTTTATGTTTATGGTAACGATCGCTTAACACGTGTTTGGAATGACATCTCTTTTAATTTATTATTTTTAATTATTTGACACGTGATTAATATTAGTTTGATATTTGATTAATATTAATACTATTTTGTATGTCATTAATTTTACTTATTTACTCTTTTTAATAAGTATCTTAATTATTTAGTACGTCATTATTTATTTAATTACTTTTGATTGATTCCATTATATTTTAATCTGTTTTTAATGAATTTTAAAAGTAACTCCACGAGCGGGATTCGAACCGCCACCTTTAGTATGGCAGGCGATTGCCCAAACCACTATGCCAGCGAGACCTTTCAAGCAACGTCAGATTATCGCGTTGAGTAGAAAAACAACCATGACGTCACGAAGCTGGGGGAAGCAGGCAGACGTCATCTCTTTCACGTTGCAGCCTGTCGAAACCGCTTCACGTTTTCTGCATCCGCCGTGGCGAACGTATACAATCTTAACAACCAATCAGCATTCCGCTAACAATATCTATCTTATTTCAGCCAATCAACGTTTCTCTTTCATTGTATATCGCCTATAAATTCACTCGATTTCACGATTTCATCATTTCTACTCTGATTCTTGCTGAGTGAACGTCATTTTGACTCTGCCATTTTCCTGCGCCATTTCGTTTTCTTCTACACGATGTCTGCTAAACGAACTTATTCTGCATCTAATGTAAGTATGTTTCGCTTGTACCTAATTTCTAGATTACTATTTTAAACACGAATTTCATTTTTTTTGAATGTTTTATTTATTTAAATTTTTAATTGCTAGGTCCTGTTTGAAGATCCTGACTTTCCTTTTCGGGACTCAGATGACGATGTAAGTTTTTACACGTATTTTAACGCACTTTTTATTTAACGTATTTTATTACTATTTGAATGTATTTTAAACGTATTTTACTTAATTTGATAGTTAATCGATGAAGTGGATCAGATTTTTCTGGAAAATCCTATGGATCTACCCTTGTATTATCAAGTGGGTTCCGGATTTGAGGTAAACTTTCGTTTCGTTATGATTCGATTAGAATATTTTTTCTAGTACTAGAAATGAATGTATTTATTTTTTATTTATTTACTTATTTTTAGACTTCTCCTTCATCAGCTCGTGGGCCTGTATACATAGCCGGTTCCGATGAACGTTCGGTATATATTTTTCTTTTTTACATGATTTATTGAAATAATGTATTTTTGAAAATGTTTGTTTCTTAATGAAAACTTATTTTTATGTTTCAGATCGATGAGGCAATTGTTCTTACGGAAAAGTCTCGTCGTCGCAATCATAAATATCAAGCCGAGGAGATTACCTTCCACGCTTGTGTGGACATCGAAAGACTGCCTCAAGGCGTGCAAGGCATCCCGATGGTCCGAATTCCTGACACCGTCCGGGAATTGTTCGAACAGCTCATTCACCGGACAACAGCCGATTTGGGTCCCTCGGATCTTATACGGTTTTGCATCCAGGCAGAAGGGTTGGATAAACCCATCAGCACATCTCTCATGACAGTTTCAAACCTAACGGTTGAAAAAATTTTGGCTGCTGTGATGAAAGTGTTGCAGTCCAAAGACAAGACTGAACTAGACACAGGGTTCTCCGTGGATGTCATCACCATCAGACGACCTGTGGGTGCCGGAGGAAATCGGAGAGTCATCAATATCTCCATAGACAGATTGAGAAAACAGTCTATTTTGTCTATTCCGTACGATGACGAAGGACTGTGTTGTGCTAAAGCGATTGTTTATGCCTTAGCACATTTGAACAAGGATTCGAGCGCCATCAATGCCTTGAGAGATCGGCGTAATCCAACACTGATGAACCGTGCAAGGGATCTTCATTTAGATGCAAATGTGGCCCTAGGCCCTTGCACATTTACTGAAATCGCCATATTTGAAGATCACCTGGATGTCCAAATTGTAGTCTTTTCTTCGGAAAATTTGAACCGGGTAAGTCATTATTTTTTGTCTCAATTAAAATATTTCTGTTTTCAAAATTTGTTTTTTATGTTTATAAACGAAACATTTTTAGGGCTTTTTTAAAATCGTAACTTGATTTTTCTATTTTGTTGTTCCATACTATATTTATGATAAAAATTTATTTGGGTACATGAGTAATTTTTAAAAAGTAGTGTTAACATTAAACAGTTTCTAACGGACTGAAAAATTAAGTGACTAATATTATGGTTTATGATTATTTTGTTTTCATGTTAAAAATATATATCTTGAGAAAATACACAGTGAATGTTTAAATTAAATTTATGCCTATATGCAGTTCGTTTCCATATTTAAAAAAAATGTAATTTCTAAAAACCGAACGCATGGTGAATTTTTATTTTTAGAGAACTTTAGCATTTTAGAATACTTTAAATTCGGTTCTGCATTAAAAAATATAATGTTCAAAACTGAATGTATTCTTTTTCTAAATTGTTCGATTCTGGAATTTATTTTTAGAGAAAAGTTTTTCATTTAGAAGTTTAAAATACACTCACGTTTGTGAAAATTGCAACACCAAGAAGGAATCGTCATAATTGAATGCAATTTAATACACAGTTGAGTGGTAGTGGTACAAATAAATGATTAAATGTTCAAAGCAAACAAACAAGAACAAGAGATCAGAATCAGTATTTTGTGTGGCCACCACGCGCCGCAATAAGTGCTGCTACACGACGTGGCATGGAGTCAAACAAAGTTTGAATGTCTGACTGAGGAAGAGCATTCCATATCGTTTGTACGCGTACCCAAAGTTCGTCTGCAGACGCAACAGGACGAGGATCACGAGCAAGACGCCGACCAATGACATCCCACACATGTTCAATTGGCGACATATCCGGGGAACACTCAGGCCAAGGAAGAAGCTGTACCTGCTGCGCTGCAAAGAAGGATTTAACAATCCGAGCAGTATGAGGGCGGGCATTGTCCTGTTGAAATACAGCGCCTGGCAAGCTTTGAAGGAAGGGAACAGCTTCGGGCTGTAGAACTTCACGGATATACCAGTTGCTGTTCAGATTCCCCATAATTCGTAGCAATTGAGATCGTCTATGATATGCTATGGCGCCCCAGACCATAACTCCGGGTGTTCGTCCACTGTGGCGTTCGATAATGCACTCCGGAAGGTGGCGTTCACCGGCATAGCGTCTGACACGAATGCGGCCATCATGGTACCACAAATTAAAGCGGGATTCGTCAGAAAACACGACATGCTGCCAAACAGCACGCCAGTCTCTATGCTGATTGGCCCATTGTAGCCGCAGGCGGCGATGGTCGTGCGTTAGGGGGATCCTGTATAAAGGAGTCCGTGCGCGCAGTCCACACTGCAGCAGACGTCTACGAATTGATGAAGCACACAATGAAAACCTGTAGCTATTGACCACAGTGCTGCCAATTGTCTAGAGGAAGCTGTACGGTCCGTCCGCGCCATGCGCACCAGGTGTCTATCATCGCGAGCTGACGTCACATTTCGGGGTCCACTCCCGGATTTCCGAGTTGTCCGACACTCGTCCGTCCACTGCTTCCAAACGCGCATCACTGTGCTGCTGTTACGCTGCACACGAGAGGCTACTGCACGATACCACAATCCAGCTTCACGATGGCCGATGATTCTCCCTCGTTCAAACTCTGTAAGTTGTTCAAATCTCGCTCGATTTCGTCGACGAGGCATAAGTACAGATTGAGTTAACGTTTACCACTAGCAGATAACCACCGATAACCATACACGCCTCGCTACAGCCGTCTATTTATTCGGATCCATCAGCCGTTCAGAGGGCGCTGCTCAGCATACGCATGCGCTACGGATTTGCAATTCTAATCATTTGCATATCATGCTCTACTTTGCATTTCCTGAAAATTTCAGCTCACTCGCGTAAGTCCTTCATGGTGTTGCAATTTTCACAAACGTGAGTGTATAACGTGAATCTTTATTTTTAAAATTACTTTAGATTTTTAGATTAACTTTATGTTTATGCATGTTCGCATAGAATGCACACAATTTATTTAGATGTTAAAAATATGACTTGTAAAAACGCATGGTGAAATTTTTAGATTAATTTTATGTAATTCGTTTCGATATTATAAATACATAGGGAATTTTTAGATCGCTTTACGTATGTAATTAAATTTAAAAACTGATTTCTAAAGGGTTTTATTTTGGAATTTAAGAGAAAAATTTTTTGTCTATGTTTTAGGTGGTCTATAAAGGGAAAGAGAGAGCACAACGGATCAATTTGTGGCTTCACGATGTGCATTATGACGTCATCAAATCCCTGAAAGGATTTTTCGGTAGCGACCATTACTGCACGTCCTGTGAAAAGGCCTATGAACATCCGGAAAACCACCGATGTGCCAACGCCTGCCCCATATGTTTGAGGACCGACTGTATTCCAGGCGTGCCCCAACGATGTCAGGATTGCGACCGTCTCTGCCGCTCCGATGCCTGCTTTGAAGCACACAAAGCCCTGACTGGAAAACAAGAGTTTTCACTCTGCGACAGGGTAAGTGTTTTTTGAAAATGTATCTTAATGAACAAAGTTAATTATCATGTAATTTTCTCGAAATGGTTATGTTTAAAAAAATTATTGTCGTTACAGGTATACCAGTGCAGAGAATGCTGCCAAGTGATTCGGAGACGCGATTGCCCTAAGGACCTGCATAGGTGTGGCACCACGAAATGCCCTTCTTGCAACCAGTTTGTCGTGGCTGCTGAGCACCGTTGCTATTTGCGACGTGTTGCCCCGAAGAAGTCCGAGGATAAGCTCATCTTTTTTGACTTTGAAACGGACCAGTCTTCGGGGGAGCATCTTGTGAATTTCGCGGTGGCTCAGTATGCCGACGGCACAGAGAGAAGTGTTTTCCGGGCTATGCGGCATGCCAAAACTTCTGCGCCTGGCTGTTCTACCACACAGCACAAGGGCTTCACCGCCGTGGCTCATAACATGAAAGGGTAAGATAAAAATACCATAGTTTGCATGCTTTAGTTTTCATGGCTGTTTTTTTTCAATATTATTCATAATTTTTTTACTTACAGGTTCGACGGTCAGTTCGTGATGGCCTGGCTCCTGGAGCAAGGCACAGCGCCGGAGGTGATCCCTAACGGGTCTATGATCATGAGTGTAAGACACCCTAGTCTGAACATTCGAGTCATAGACTCGTTAAATTTTCTACCGATGGCGTTGGCCAAATTGCCAGGATGCTTCGGTCTCAGCGAGCTGAAAAAGGGATACTTTCCCCATCTTTTCAACTCGCGAGAAAACCAAAATTATGTCGGACCGCTGCCTGAGCCCCGGTACTACAGCCCGGATACCATGAGCACTTCAGCACGACAAGCATTTCTGTCCTGGCATGAAGCACACAAGGGGGACGTGTTTAACTTTCAAGATGAGATGCTGGCCTATTGCAGGTATATTTTTTCTTCTTGTTTTATTTTTATTTTATTTTTTTATATATTTCGTATTTTTAACATTTTTTCTTTTAATAGATCGGACGTGGACATTCTTCGCCGTTGCTGCCTGGAGTTTCGAGCCCAGTTTTTGGATGTGGCGAATGTGGATCCATTCCAGTAAGTCATTTTCTCATTTTCTTATACAATAATAATCATATTTACAGTTCATTAAATCGTTCTTATTTTTGTCTTTTCAGATACGTGACCATCGCGTCAGCCTGTATGGCAACGTATCGGAGTGGCCACATTCAACCCGACACGATTGCCATGGTGCCTACACACGGCTACATCAACTCAACGAATTACAGCCCTGATTCGATCCGATGGTTGGACTTTGTTGCTGCTTCGGAAGGCCTACAGATTCAACATGCGTTGAACGGTTCCGGAGAGCACAGAGTCGCCGGAATCTCGGTAGACGGATTCTGCCAAGAAACACAAACCGTCTATCAGTTTCAGGTAAGAAAATATAACCATTCCTTTTCTATGTGATTCTTTTTAGTGATTTTACACTTTTAATGTTTAAACATGTTGAACACTATTAATATATATTTGTATTATTTTAGGGCTGTTTCTTTCACGGATGTAGTTCGTGTTACGATGGTGATATCATACATCCACTGAAAGGGGTTTCCATGGCAACGTTAAGAGAAAAGACAGAAGAGACGACAAGAAAGCTTCGCACCCAGGGTTTCCACGTCATCGAAATGTGGGAGCATGAATTTCAAAGAGAGAAGGAGGAAAATCCAGATCTCCAAGCTTTCCTGGATCAACACCATCTGAGGGATCGACTCAATCCTCGCGAGTCGTTTTTTGGAGGAAGGACCAATGCCCTCAAATTGTTCCACGAGGGAGACGCAAAATATGTGGATTTTACCTCACTCTATCCCTGGGTTCGTACTTTTTATTATTTCAAAAATGTTTACTTAAACTTTTCTAAATTTTCTGTATATTTTTATGATGTGTTTTTTTCTGACTTTTTTTGTTTTTATTCACAGGTGAACAAGTATTGCGTCTACCCTGTGGGACATCCAACAATCATCACGGAAAGCTTTAGAGATGTGGAAGATTATTTTGGAATTATCCAATGCCGAGTGATTCCTCCACGGAATCTGTATCTTCCGGTACTGCCCTATCGGTGCCGGAAGAAGCTGATGTTCCCCCTGTGTCGGACTTGCGCCCTTCTTCAACTGCAGACTCCGTGTACCCACACACAGACGACGAGCGAGCTCTTGTCGGAACGTGGGTAACGGAGGAAGTCAAACTGGCGAAAAAGAAAGGCTACCGCATCACACATGTAAGTACTCAAAGATTATTTTAATCTTTATTTAGTTTCAGAGGTTACTTTTAAAAAATTTTTATAACTGACATTTATTTTTTATTTTCTAGATTTACGAAGTGTACCATTTCCAGGCATCGTCTACTTCTCTGTTCAGATCATACATTGATCTGTTTCTGAAGATCAAGCAGGAAAGTAGCGGATGGCCTTCGGAGTGTGTGACGGAAGAAGCCAGACTGAAGTACATTCGCCAGTATGAAGAAAGAGAGGGCGTCAAGTTGGAGGCCGAAAAACCCTGGGCGTCGACAAGTCGCCAAGTTGGCCCTGAACAGTTTTTGGGGCAGGTAAGATAATTTCTTTTGTACTTAATTTTTATAAATATTTTTAATTCGTTGTGATTTATGATAGCTTTTTTTCACTCAGATGGGGTATGAACGTGAACAAAGCCCAACTGACCTATGTCCACACGGTGCCAGACTTCAATAAGATGTTGGCGGATTCTGCTAAAAAAGTAAGTTTCTTTACCGATTTTATTCATCTGTAAACTCAAAGAGTTTCAAACTGTAAACTTATGACTATTTTGAACTGTTATCTCATGACTCTTCTATTTTTTTAGATCAAAGATGTCTTTCTTCTTCCCACGCCTGAGGTGGCTGCCATTTCCTGGGAATCTGCGAAGGAGTTTGTGTGCCGCAGGATGCCTCTACCAACATTTTCCTAGCGACCTTCACAACAGCTTGGGCTCGTCTCAAGCTGTATAGTGAAATGGAGAAGTTGGGTAGAGATGTCCTGTACCACGACACAGACTCCATCATCTATGCCTCGAATGGCCGCAATGATCCCCCCTTGGGCAACTTCCTGGGTGAATTTACGGATGAACTGGAGGGTGATGTCATCAAAACCTTTGTCTCTGGTAAGGACCTTTAAAAAAATTTCTTTATTTAACATGTACCAAAAATATTGAAAGTTTTTCTATTATCTCTTTTTTTCTCATGATGTTTTATTTTTTCAGGAGGACCGAAAAACTATGCTTATCAGACGGCCACTGGGAAAACCTGCTGCAAAGTCCGAGGATTTTCATTGAATTTCCGGAATTCTCAGTTGCTGAATTTTGAAAGTATGAAACGGTTGGTCTGCAGCCTCGACCGAAGTGAGATCATCTCTCTCCACAACCCCTCCAAAATCACCCGAGAAGCGAAGAGAAGAAAGGTGATGAATAAACCCGAGACAAAAATGTACAGAATTGTGTTGGATAAACGGGTAATTCAAAAAGACTTGAGCACATTGCCGTATGGTCATTAGTATATTGAAGAAGAACTTTTTATGTTTATGTTAGAACCTTATCTGAAAATGAAATTTTGTATGTAAATATATATATATATATATATATATATATATGCAGAATCATGCATTTGTATGTGTATAAAAGAAAACTTATTTAGAAAAAAAAAAAAACAGAAGTTTGAATGATAAAATGTGTTTTTTCTTATTTGAAAGGATTTCATGAAAGGTAAGTTTTTTCTAGAAAATAATTGTCATATTTTTATTTCAAAAATTATGTTAACTTAATTAGAAAGAAATACAACACCAATGATCAGCCATTACATTTATTCACGTATATTACAATTTCAGCCATAGTTTGGAAGATGCGTTTCTTTTAGGTCTAGCATACATAGTTTTTACATTCATTAAATGTTTGTTTTTCACAAAGTCTTGAGGAAAGTTGTTAACATTCAGTACATTTTAAAACTGTTCAAAGGCAAAAGGTTTTTGAGTTCTATTTCTCAACAGAAAGTTTATCAACTGAACAATGTCAGAGCCAGAAAACACATGATCATCCAGAATGAGTTCTTTATTCTGTGTCCAGGAAATCTGATGCTCTTTTAGAAAATCTATTATTTTCTGTGCCGTTCTTTTCTGCTTCACAGGAACTGTTTGCATAATTTCTTTTTCTATATCTTTCTCAGAACGTTGTTCAGGCGGTTGTTCTTCGGAAGTGTTCACATGAGGAAATGTAACATACTTTTGCAGAACCTGGATGTACAATTTAGACTTTTCTTCATCGTCCATTTTCTTTTTTAAGATGTTTTGAATTTGTGTGTCTAAATCACTCAAATGTTCATCTTCAAATTGCTGCATACGATCCAGGGGTACCAGCGCAAATTTCTTACTGTGTTCCATGGATAAGGGAGGATAAGACACTGACTGCTGCAGGAATCAGGAAAGATAGGAAACCGTCACCTTTTTGAACCAAAAGACGTCTTTTCTTAAAAAGAGGTACTTTTTTGTCCGCTAGTTTTCTTAAAGTTCTTTTAAAAGGGGCGAGTCGATTTTTGACCCGTTTGGTGATGGGTACGTTTCCTTTTAGAAGATTTAAAACACACTCACAAACTGATTTTATGAGATGATTCGGACACTTTTTCAGTACAGCTGCTTTTATTCGACTTTTTCCTAATAGTTTTAGATAATCCACATCCTTCAGATGAGACATTCTGATGACAAATGAGCTCTTTTTTTTCTTGCACACTTTCTTTTATATAGGTAGCAAATGCAGCCGCTTTGGTTAAAGCACAGCAATTAAATCCTTTTGCATGAATCGAACATGTTAAAGAACTTTTCTTTTTTAAATTCTCTATCTTAGGACAGTCTAGATTTATGATGTCTCTACATAATAAATTTTCTAAAAATAATTTCTTTTCTAATCCTTTCACGTATATGACAGAATAAATAGATGACAAATATTGCAAAATAATACGAAGATGAGTATAAGGTAATACACCCTCACTCCAATTCACATGATGACGATTTCTTGTGACCCAAGCAAAACACTTTTGCTGAGATCGTGATAATGTTTTCCAAGGCTGAGGAGGTAAAAATGACCAGCAACTGTGATATCCTTCATGCACGGAGTAAAAAGCTAATTCTTTAACAATGTAATAATGAGGCATCCACTGAAAACCTTCGAAATCGATCACGATGGGAGAAGACATGTTAGCCATTCGACGTCTCAAACTGAAATGAACTATCGGGGCTGGTAGACATAGTATTTATCCCCAGGAAAGATGCCTGTACGAAGGCGAAGCGTTTCACTTGTTTCAGGTCGTAAATCAATCAACAAGTAGCTAAATGGGGTTGAAGTAGCATCCTGAAAAATTTCTTGAAAGGCCTTTACTTTTCCGGGGAACATTTGTTTAGCTAAATGCATAATTTGACTTTTATCTCTAGGATTTTTGTATAGGACAAGGTAATGGGAATTTAAATGAATATTTCTCATCTATTTTGTGTTATAAAAACGACTGAAAGGTTTCGGTGATGACTTCCTTTTGTAAAAAGTTTGCTTAAGCGAGTATCACTTGCTAATTCAGACATTAAATCGTCTATGATAATTAAAGCATTTTGAAGAGTCTGCAGGTTAGATGGTAATCCTTCTTCAAAATTAACATTTTTCATGGAATTAAAAAGAGGTTGATAACTTCCGTAGCAATAAATAATATTGGTCGGCATGGGATGGAACATTTTATGATCTATCAATTTCTTCACAAAAAATGTTTTTCCCGAACCGGTAGGTCCGCTCAGAAGACAAGTAGAAGGATGTACTAACTTGGGCAGTTCCATTTTTGCAAATGACAGCATGTTAAGAAAACACTGACTTTTATACTTTACGGAAAATCGAAAATCCTTTTGCATGGAGACATTTATTCATTTTGTTTAAATAAGTGTAGAAACAAGAAACACAAGAGACATTTTTACAAATTAAAACAACTTTATTTTTTAAAAATCATATTTACACCATATCTTTTTTTGACAAATTGAAATATTTGGAAATCATGATTCTTCCCATCTAAGGGTGATACAATGAGTTCCATACAGAGTCCTTGACAGCGTTTAATAATGAAAATAAATACAATAATGTCCACATACATTAGAAGTTAAACTCTGAAGCGAAATCTTGTTCCAGCAAACATGACGATATTTCTTGACAAAGGAATGTGATATCTTTTCCATATACTTCAGGCGGGAGTCCATAAGAGTCAAAAAATTCCAGAGTCTGTTTGTCTGCAATGTAGACAGCTAGCCAATGAGTTCCTTTTTCATCATGTTTATCCGTATTGAGCACCAGTGCACAGGGAAAACTTTGAATCGCAGGTATTTTATCACAAGGAAAAACACCCGCATAATATCTCAAAGAAATAGGATCTCGAGATAAGATTTGATGAATCTGTGATGAATTCATCAGTTTCCAAAATCGTACAGAATATTTCGAGCTTTATTGATTTCTATCAAATTTTCAAATTCAGCGTACACTAATAACGAAACAGTTTGTTGTAAGGGAGTCCCAAATTTTATTTCTAATCTTAAGTTGCTGTGTCGAACTAGATTTAAATGAGAGCCATCACAAAGGTCAGGTGACAGGTCGAAGCGAAATAAGGAATATCCTTTTGAAAATTCTGATCTTGAAAGGTAAAGTCCTCTGTCGTCTGCATTCATAAATAAATTCTGATAAGCTCGTATGAAATGATTTTTGTCAAAATTAGGCTGAAGAGGATTATGAGGTACCGGTTGCCCGTCCACATAAACGCCGATAAAGTTCATATTATAATGCTTGAATTCAAAAGGAGACTTTTTATAGTTTCCGTTAAAGGCATCATTATCGACACATGCCACCACAATACGATTAGGCATTTGACCTATGAAAATATTGTCTTGAATAAAACTCATATTTCCCGTTGGAATGGAATAGGCTTTGCAGAGCACTCTATTAATGGGATATTTGGCTGTTGATTTTTCTAGGCTTTTGGCATGTCCTAGCACAACACCTGGGCTGACTCTCACTTTGCGTACAAACAATGAAGCTTGTTCGAGTAAAACTTTAAATTCACCTTCGCCCAATAAACAAAATTCAGGTTTGCTGCGTATGAGTTTAATTTTCATATCCACCATATTCAGCAAAAGTCTTTCCTGATGAAACATATCCAAGTGCAATCGGCCAATCATATCGACCGAAGCACTCAGTTTAAACAATTCTGCTCGTTGGTTGAATCCTTCATTCGGCTGAGTGTCTTGAATATCAAAAACGTTCATACGTCCTGCTGTATCTTTGAAAAACAATTCTGATGACAGTTGAGACGTTTTCGTATCAAAACCATGATTCAATAATTTTTCTATCATGGCTCTGTAAGGATACGTGTTATTACTTACTGGTGGAAACGAGTCTTTCATTTAAGCTAATATCCACTTGAGAAAACATAGAATGTAAAAAGAGATTGACAGGTCCCACTTTACTTTCAGCCGTGATTGGCTTGCCATCATTTTTTAAAATTTTCACTTTGACGTAGAGTTGTGTCTGTGATAAGTCTAGGTAGTCGTCTCCGCTTCCAGAAACATTGAACTCGACAGGACTTCCTTCCGATACATTGGCTAATGGATGAAATTCAACCCACTGACCTTTTTCGATAACTGTTTGTGTGGGAGGTAACGAAAATAAATCCAATTCGGATTTTGCGCATTCCGGAGAATCTTTTAACAGAAAAGCCATTACGAGTCAAAAATATCACGTCGTTGCACCTTCCTGGCTTTAGACGAAATGAAGTGTTTGGGGGTTTTGCGCTTCCTTTTAAACCTTCCGTGACCAATCATCTCATCTGCTTTCTGAACTGCTTTCCTCGCTAATTTTTTGCCAGCTTCTTTAGATCTGGTTTTGAGGGAGACTTTAAAATTTTCTCCCGACAATACGTCGTTTGCAATTTGTGTTCCAGTCCGCAAGGCTTCTTTTCCGACTGTTTTGGCTCCACTCATCAAAAAAGGCATAGCACTGCGAAACAGCTTTGCAAAAAATCCACCAATACCATAACCTTTCTGTAAAATGGTTCCTTGATAGTAAGGTAATCCATTTCCAGTTTGAGCTAAATAATAATCTTCAAATTTTTTCGTGCAACACGTATAAGGCACCCGCATGTTTGATGCTTCTAATCTTGCATACACAATCCAAATGAAATCAATTTGCAAATGAAGGCTTCTTTTATAGAATTTGTCTCAGACGAAAATGCAACACAAGAAATACTTTGCCTCTTTCGAATGGTACTAAATCTCCAGAGTGAAGTCTTATGTCAATATGTATAGTCTGAAAATGTTGACGGATAACTGGCAAGTAAAAGGGCCGGGGGTAATGAGCGTTTATGATGTCTCCGTCATTTCCTTCTACGGTGACAATTTTTAACAACGGGGCTTGTACATCTCCCACAATTTGAGGTTCTACGAGATCGCAATACACATACATGACAGGAAAAGATACTTTGGGATCGGCTACAAAAGGACTTTGTTCCAATCCTTTGTAAACACCCGGCTCGAACCCTAGAAGCTCCGCTAATCCTTCGTGAAGAATGACTTTGCAGTTTTCGTCGGTCTTAATGGTCACTTTTTTTCG